AAAAAAAAAAAAAAAAAAGAAAAACAAAATCAGTCATAAGCTGTACTTTAAAGAAACTGCTAAATGGTACCTTTAGGTTGACTTTAATTAGTGTTTTTATAAAAACCAAAATAATTGGGGCAGCGCCTATGGCTCAAAGGAGTAAGGCGCCAGCTCCATATGCTGGAGGTGGCAGGTTGAAACCCAGCCCTAGCCCAAAAAAACTGCAAAAAAAATTAAAACAAAATAATGCATGCAGCACATGGTTAAAAATCAAACTGTACAGAGGAGTTTACAATAAAAAAGGTGGAGTCCCCTACTCTACCACTTCCCTCTTCCAAATATGGATTGCCCAAGGCAAATGCTTAAAGTTCTCTGTTCAAGATTATCAGCTCTGGGGGTGCCCGCAGCTCAGTGGGTAGGGTGCCAGCGACATACACCCAGGCTGGTGGGTTGGAACCCGGCCAGGGACAACTAAACAACAATGACAACTGCAACAACAACAAAAAAAATAGCCTGGCCTTGTGGTGGTCACCTGTAGTCCCAACTACTTGGGAGGATGAGGCAAGACAATCGCTGAAGCTCAAGAGTTTGAGGTTGCTGTGAGCTGTGACGGCAACAAAGTGAGACTCCATCTCAGAAAAAAGAGACTATCAGCTCTACTATGAATATAATGAATGTTCTACACAGTGTGATATGTATCTGCTAACAATTATAATGATGACTGTAATAACAGCTACTGTGTATTTACTGAACATTTCCCCAATGCCAGACATTGCCAAGTCCTTTATATTACTGCATTTAATTTGCACAACATTATTATCATCTTGTTATTATTACAATACTACATTATTACTACGTTGTGATGAGTACATTAAAGCTGTGAGAAATAATTTGCCAAAAGTTACACAGGTGTCTTAACACTAGATAACAATTTTCAGGACTTTCTAGGATTCTGACCACCATTCTAAGCAATAAGGACAGTCACTCACTTAATACTCAAAACAATGAGTTAAGTATTACCATTATCCCCACTTCGTAGAAGAATAAACTGAGGCACACAGAGGTTAAGAAAACTTGGCTCGGCACCTGTGGCTCAAGTGGCTAAGGCGCCAGCCACATACACCTAAGGTGGTGGGTTCGAATCCCCAGCCCGGGCCCGCCAAACAACAATGATGGC